ACTACATAACCATATCTTTGCCTGAGTTTTCTCATTTTTAAAATGGAGCTGTGAATTTAATGAAGATTGATAGATTACTGTGAAGTTCTTAGAGTCTGGCGCAAGGGCAGTGTGCAGTAAGTGCTGGATGTTATAATTAATATTATCATTACTTTTATCAATGTTTTGATGTAGTTACATTAGATTTTTTTAAAAGTAAAACATTACAGATAAAATTGAATCTTATTATTCTCAATTATCTTTAAAACAAATCCAATTTTTTTGTTGACTCTCTTGTAGCAGATTTTTTTTTTTTTTAAGAATCTCAGGAAGTTGGTATGTATCCTTAATGACATCTTTACAAGACTTTTAGCTCCTCACTTTACTACCCTGTTCTTCCTAATTATTGAAAATTAAGTCTGAAGCACTACTCATCTGTGAAACATGACACTTCCAGAATGAAAAAGCAGCATTCGTAGCACAGCTAGAGGAAGTGTTTTCCTCTGTGGCATTCCTTTGGTTCCTTTTCTAATTGAGTATTTTCTTTTGAGCTAATTCTTTCTTCCAGTTTTTTCCGTTTCTTGGGCACATGTTTCTCTACTACCAGCTGCGTTATTGAAGGCAGTTGCCCTGAGTCCTTCCTTCTGCATTTTCATGATCTAGGTTAGTGTCTCATAAGGTAGCCTGCTCGTGTGAAGTGTGTTGGGTGCGTACGTGTCTGATGAACAGTGGCAGCATGCGTATCTTAAAGAGCTAAAACTATTATTACTGTGTTTGTTATTATAGGTTTCTACAAGTGCTTCCTGCTTGTACTGAAGATGAGAAACTGCTAATAGATATCATACATTTTTTAAATAAGTTAGTGAAGGAACAAAGAAAAAATCCATCTGTAGAATTTCTAAACTGGATTCTAGAATTACTTCTTAGACATGTAAGTATTGTGAAAGAATTTGGATATTGGGTTTCAGAAGTGATGCTTTTATAGAAAAGGATAATCTTTACGTGGCGTTTGCTTAGTAAAGTAGTTCTCATCTTGGAACAAATGATGTGTAGCAACATGGCCTTCCTGATATGACCGGGTTTACTAGATTTAATTCTGTAGAGCATCTGGGACCTTCAGTCTTCGTGTTTTAATGAAATTTGTTCTATATGTGAGCTTTCTGCTGAAACTGTATTTTTAAGTGGGATTGCAGGGTCGGGGTGGGATTTAAATAGGTATGTGGAGAGGTAAATAGCAAAGCCAGACGGAAAGCAGGAGGGATACAGTGATTGTGAAGCTGGAAAGAATGAAGAAACTGCTCAGGCTTTAATCTAATGTCACTGAAGTATCTGCTCTGCCAGCCCCCATTTCTCTCAGGGTTTTGCTCTGTTACAAGAGACTTAGTCAGAACCCATTTAGCTCGCTCACTGTCTGTTGTCGGTCCCTGTCTGTCCATCTATGCATCTATTTGAAAATACCTTATCTATCTAATTAACTTACCAGAAATAACCCTTTGCAAAAATAATCAAGAAAAAAATACAAAGAATTAGAAAATAAGGCCTAAACTGATTTAGAAAGTTACAGATCTTATAAGACAAATAGGCTCCATTATATGTTAATATCTTTGCTTTGCTTAAAAAGATGATTCTCTGTAAAAGTATTAAGTATTACATATTGAAAGTCAGAAATGCTAACCCTTAATGATTGTGTGTGTATACAGCTTATTAGATGTTTATTATCATTTCCCTTATTGTAGACTGGTGGAACTGGGGGCTGTTTTGTTCATATTGCATACCAGCATCTGCCATAGTGCCTTACACATAGTAGACTCCCAGTAAACATCTGTTACCTTAGTAATAAACATAGGACATTAAGGAAGATATGCAGGAAACATATAACCTTAATTTTATAACTTGTTCAAATATAATAAAATGGATATTATTGAATATGTTCAAGTTTACACATCAAATATAGACGAAACTGAAATTATAATTCTGTGTCATTGGAGATGTGTGTGTGTGTGATTTGGTTTCTGTAGTTTGGTAAAGAGATAAATTGTTTAGAGTAAGATGAAAATTTTTTTCATATTTGGGACTTGTGTGTTTCCTTTTCTGTGAAATGTCTTTTGTTATGTCCTTGAGGGTTCTGCCCTATAATTGGATTGTTTCTTTCTCCTCTTATCATAAATTAAGGAGATTAATGCTTTAATAAGTGAATTCCAGGAGCTTTTTTCCTTGCTTGTCACTTATCTTCTGACCATGCTTTTGGTCTTTGGACTTCATTATCTTGCTTCCATTGCATCTACTGCTTTCATATCCTTGTTTCATTGTGTTGATATAATAGTTACATTATATTCCATGACCTTAATTTCACATTTAGTCATAGTCCTACGGGTGTGTGTATCAGATCTGAACACTTCTCATTGCTGACCCTGCCAGGCTCTGACCTGCCACCCACCCCTGGGTAAACTGGGCCTTCAGGCTTCCACGCGTTCTACCTATGCTTTCCAAGATGGCGAGTCACATCATGTCACTCCTCTATTCAAATTCTCTATGTGCTTCCTCTCTCTTTCAGATAAAGCTCTGAAATACTAACTGTGGCCCAAGGTTTGGGCTTGATTCTGAGCATCTTTCTGACCTGTTCTGCCACCTCACCTCACACATTCTGTTCCAGGCACCATTTTTTCAGGCACTCACACTGCCTGAGCACTCTTGGATTTTCTTTTCTCTTTTGATGTCTGTATGGTTAGCATCCAAACTTAATTCAGTGTTCTACTCACATGTTGATCAGAGAAGTCTTCTCTGATGATGGCATCTAATGTAGCACCTTCCGTGCCGGTCTCCCTGACTTTGCTGTATTTTTCTTTATTGTACCTGTCACTCCCACCTATGTCTGTTCTTTTGAAAAAAAG